AGCACACACTGTTGTCAATAGTTAACATGATCCTTTACCAAACCATCAGCTGTTAGCCGAAGTTTTGTGTGGTATATTAGTATCTAGGTAGCACACACTGTTGTCAATAGTTAACATGATCCTTTACCAAACCATCAGCTGTTAGCCGAAGTTTTGTGTGGTATATTAGTATCTAGGTAGTACACATTATTGTCAATAGATAACATGATCCTTTACCAAACCATCAGCTGTTAACTGAAGGTTTGTGTGGTATATTAGTATCTAGGTAGCACACACTGTTGTCAATAGATAACATGATCCTTTACCAAACCATCAGCTGTTAACAGAAGTTTTGTGTGGTATATTAGTATCTAGGTAGCACACACTGTTGTCAATAGATAATATGATCCTTTACCAAGCCATCAGCTGTTAACTGAAGGTTTGTGTGGTATATTAGTATCTAGGTAGCACACACTGTTGTCAATAGATAACATGATCCTTTACCAAACCATCAGCTGTTAACCGAAGTTTTGTGTGGTATATTAGTATCTAGGTAGCAGAACAGATAAGTCATGTATACCTTCCCATCATCACCACCTGTGACAATATACTGGCCATCAGGAGAGTAGGCCAAACAACTCATGGTATTGAAGTGTCCTTGCTGCTTGAGGACAAAGCTTTCACTTTGCCATTCCCACACTACTAATTGCCCCATATAGGAGCTCCCCAGGGCTATCCAGTCTCCTGTGCAATTAAAAGCTACAGCCGAGATGTCCTGCTCTGAAATCCTAAGATAGAAAAATTAAAACCAGATATTTAAGGTGACTATTATTTCACAGAATAATGTTTTATAAAGGTATTTGAAACTCTCCCAAAAATTAAAATTTTTTTCATAGCTTTCCTCAAGAGAAAAGTGAAAAGTAACAAATGAGTAAGGTAGTGACTATGTATTTGAAAGTAATTTATACAAGTACCATTTACAAAACAACAAAAAATAATTAAAACTTTTTTTTAGCAAAAACATATTTCATAAACTCTAGCATTTAAGATAAATGAAAAAACTGAACCTGTTAAACACCAGTTGCTAGTTAGGTCCAATTGAAACTATTTAGAATTTAATCCAGATACTACACTTTAAAATAACTAAACTTTTTTTTACATTGAATAAAGGTCAACTATTGTATTAAAAATATGTTTACAAATAACTTAGTCTTGTGCTATATGTTTAGAAAAATGTTGATGGTAATTTTTTTAATATATGGAAACCTGTTAAATGAACAATAAATGCATTTGAAACGTACTACATGCATTTTTAAGTTTGAAAACATTGATTTCAGGAAACTTCCATTCTCTCATTTCAGAGAAGAATCTTTTATATATTTCAAAAAAGTACATTCAAATTCGATTTTTTTCACTAAAGTTTTCTTTAACTAAATGATACTTACGAAAGTGAATGTATCAAATTACAGTCTGGAATTTCCTGCAGTAAAAAAGAACCATTGGAAAATCCAGTTACCAGAATATGAGACTTTCTATGGTAAGCTGCAGATGTCAGCATCACAGAATTTCCAGCTTTTAAAGAATCCTTCAAGTACACTCTGTACAATAACAAAGAAAGTAAATATAACTTTCTGGTTAGAGAAAAAATATTAAGTTACTAACATTTTTAATAAACTCAACATAAAAAGTAACTAATGTTTAACAAACTGTTCAATAATCATTCCCATCATGCAAATTAAAAGATAGAACAAGTATTTTGTTCTCTGCGATAAATTGCAGTGCTTGGTCAGAAAATCAATTATGAAAAAAATAAAAATAAAAAGAAACAGGGGGTTTGTATTCAGAAAAATAACAACTATGGTTTTACTTGTTTAAAACAGATGTAGGCCACAATAAAACACACTTTAAATTCTACTTTATATAATCTATTTATTACATAGTATCATTTTAATAAGTCTTTGGAAGGAACGAAGTAGATGAAAGATGGAAGATGAAGTGTTTGTTTATCATTTCCTGTTCGGCACAGTAAAAAAACAAATAAAATGAACCGAGTTATATCACCCATACAGACACAAAACAGTCATCTAAAACACACTGTTATTAGTCAAGAAATAAAAACTAGTTAGTATCTATACCAATAAAAATTATTTGTCTTCATAATTGGTAAAAGACAAATTTAACATTTTATTTATTATATGATGCAAGTCTTGCTTTATTGATTAAAACTAGTAAAAAACAAAATCATACTTAGCTCGACGTTTGTAGAAAACTTTACTGTTCTTGTCATCTGTTTCTTCTTCTTTTTCATCTTAAATGAGACACAAGAATAATGAAAATGTGTAAAAAAAAAATCTTCAGTGTTAAGTTCAACTAAAACTTAATTCAAAAATTTTTATTTTTATAAATGTACCAGAGCAGAGAACATATACATCGAATTATGTGAAATAATGAAAATGTACCTTCCAATAAACTTAAATCAAAGTGAGTACAGAGAAAGCTGAAATACCAAGTTTTCTTTTTTTGGCATCAGTCATATTGTCTTCATCATCACAGTCTTTTTGTTGTTGCTCCACTTGTTCTGTTGGAGGCATTAATCCACCAATATCAACACTACATTCCCACACACACAGCTGTCCATTTCTGCTTACTGTGCACAGCTGATGGCTTGATAAAGGATCATGTTATCTATTGACAATAGTGTGTAACTCTCCTGATGGACTGTATACAGTCAGTGGAGATTACAAGATTAATCCAACACTATCAGTTACTAATCCAACTCTCCTGATGGACTGTATATAGTCAGTGGAGATTACAAGATTAATCCAACACTATCAGTTACTAATCCAACTCTCCTGATGGACTGTATATAGTCAGTGGAGATTACAAGATTAATCCAACACTATCAGTTACTAATCCAACTCTCCTGATGGACTGTATACAGTC